ATAACCCGTGCTCGAATATATTACCCACGTTGTAATCGAACTGACCTGAGACATTATATACAAGTGTAAATTAACCATTATGGAAATATAATAACTACGAATTTAAGTAGACATGAAAAAGATAAAGAATTCTCTATTTAAATTTTGTAATTAAGTTATAAACATTAGTCTGTAAGCGTAGAACTAAACTATGTAAAACTGGGTAAAATCAACAGATACTCCATCAAAATAGAGTAAAGGGTATTGTTGTTAGCAGATTTTAGAAGAGGACACGAAGTCTTTCTTCCCATATTTCTTAAAAGTGTGCACTCTAAGATAAATAGTCCATCTACAGTGCAAGCGCATCAGCAATGTGGCTTTGTGTGCTTTAGCACTGTATAGGAGGGTGAAATAGTCATTTACATAAAATATTTGGCCACTTATCACCAGGTGGGAGAGTGTGATAGTTATCAACTGCCAGTTTACTGGTTATAATTTTAAAAACGTATTACTGAGGCTTAAATATTAAAAGTCTTGTTTCTCTGATACCATGTAATTAAAGGGTAGCCAGTAGTGCCTTATATTTGTATTCTGAAAGTATCTAATCAACAAAGTCTTTACAAGTTTCCGCACACTATTTACCGATTACTGATAAATAAAATTGTAATACTAAGCAAACCATATCAAAAGATGAAAAAGAACATGTACTTTATCATAGAAAAGTTGTTATTTTTCAATAAGTATTTATTTCTTAAAATACTTGAAAAACTTGCGTGTAACAAAATAAAGACCTCATTTTTGCATTAAAATCCGCACGATGGCGTATCCGTTGCATAATTAATTAACAAATTTAATGTTTCCAAATAACAATGATTTCCTTAAGTTACGGGAAAATATGAGAAGCTAGAAATATCACATAATGATGATAATAATCATTCGTCGTAATAGTAAAAACTGCAGCTATTTCATAGACTTCTTTGAAAGATTAAATTTTTTTTTTGAAAAAACGATTATCCAGCAAAATGTGTTTTTTTTTAATAATGGAGAAACTTTTTTGATCAGAGTCAATAAAATAAAAATGAAGGTTCTATGTTGCCATACTATTTACGTCATTATTAATCTGTAGTGAATTTCAGTTTGGGTTTGGGATACTCCATGCAAAAATTAATTTAACCACATTTTTCAATTGATGTCTAATTTTTTTGAAAATACGCAATTAGACCAAGTTGTGATTTATTTCCAAATGAATGGTTTTATAATTAGCACCGTTCTTGTGCGTTGAACATTTAGAATTTGAACTTTAGAGAAGTAATTGGAGGTGTCTGGGAAAAACAAAATGCAGAAATAGGGAAATTTCGCATGCCCACTTTGTGGACAGCGCATGCGCCACACATTGCAATCAGCTGTCAGAAAGAACATAATCACGTAAAAAACAAAATTATTTGTGTCCTAAGATAATTCCCGTCAATATGGCGGGGCAAAATCCAGGCTCTCCTACTGACTTTCAATATTTTTACGAGGATGAAGTGTATAAAATCAACAATCGCGGCCAAGTCGTATTCGGTCTCGTACTTGAAAACTACGAAGCGAACTCCAGTGATCAGGAGAGCGACATTGAAACACCTATCCAAAAAGGCGAAATTCGTGTTGTGTGGCACCCTTCGGGAACCGAACGAGTTATATCTGAAAAATCGGTAAGTAATTATAAAATCTTAAAATGCATTGTCCCATAAGTACATTGAAGCATGCTATTGCAGTGCATTTTTCATGACAGATTTTAATAACAAAAATGCTATAGTTGCATGGCATGACTCTGATGTGAATCCTTCAAGGATTCTTTCTTATAAGGGTATAATATATTTCTGATTCAAAATTATGAAGTACCCTCAAGCATCAAAAATCTTTATAAAAAATGGCATGTTAAGTTTTTAAACATGAATAGCAATTACAAATTTAATGCTTATAAGATACTTGTATGCTTTGATATGCTTGTAATTGAATATTTTTTTTACTATTACCTCTTTTGGTTGAAAGCATCAGTGTATAGAACAATACAAACCAAACCTTATATGTGTTTTAATACAAAGACTATGCTAGTTTAAGTTTACTATGTTGTTGTAGTTCTAATTGTGGGAAGGGAGGATGTGACTTTGTTATGCAATATCAGATTATTACATATTCTAGTTCTACATAATTATGATGGACAGTTTATCCAGTATCAATGAGACTTATACTACATCAGCCATTGAAAATAATTTGGACAGACAAATTGATAGAAATATCTATTTATAACGATACTAGTTGTTGCTTGCGACTTTACCCGCATGAAATTAAAATAATATAGCCTATGTTACTCACAGATACACTTTTCTAACAGTGAAATCATTTTTAAAATCAGCCCAGTAGTTTTTAAGTTATTGCAATACATACAAAAATACAAATATTTTGTCTTAATAATATTGGTATAGATAATTACATATTTGCAGTCAATGTATTATCAATGGAAGTCATTGTTGGGAATTCAATGTAACTAATAATGGTCACTTTAATCTATGAAAAACAGCATATGAATGATTCAGTAACTTGTTTTTATATATTTTAATTTAAAGTCTTAAAACTTGTAAATTTGACAGGTTGGTTTAGCAGACCGTTCGTTGATGCCAGGTGATGTTGTTCGCCGCCTCATAGCTGGAAAGGACACCCAGCGAGGATATTGCCGTGACATAGTGATGACAGCAGCATTGCAGATTGTAGGAACTAAACATGTGATACCCAGTGTTGCCAGTGAAAGATTACAACCGTTAGAAGAATTCACACCCGATCTAGCTGTGTGCCTTGACTCCTGGGTCGGAACATCAAAGGTAAGCTTGTTTCAATTAACTATGAACCTAACAAGAGGGGTCCCACACCGTAAAGTTATTCTTGGCCTTCAATAAAAGACTTCACTTTTCTCTATCCTGTCCTGAACTTGTAGGATAATCACAGTTATTGGTAATAAAAGTGTAACTATGTGATTTATTTAATTATATGATTATATTAAAAATCTTTGTTGACATAGAATATCATTACCAACATATGCTAAACCCTATTTCTCATGTGTAACTGTCAATTTCAAAAGTCATAACTTTTTTACCTATGCAATCTTTGAGATATATTTTCACATTTAGGCTGTGCACAGTAAACTTCGTCTCGTATCAGCTGATGGTTCTCGTCTTGAATACCCAGACCTGGACAGTTGTCCATTAGAGGACTATTCTATGAGACGGCGTCGATCCACACCTTATTCTTCATCTGAGTTCTACCCAGGACAAGTGGTGTATGGTCCCTTGGGAACTCTGGACAGTGCAAATTGGCTTCATGTCACCAAGGAAATGAAAGCTGCCAGGAAACATAAAATGCATGACCATAAGGTAAGTTTGTATAAGTGTTTTTTGTTAAATTTTACTTTTATTGATGTGGCACATGGTTGTTGGCCTTTTGCCACCTTCTTTTTTGGTACATCATTTTAATGTATTCTATGCATTAATTACATGACATAAAGATACATATTTTTGATTTACTAAAGTCATTCACATTGATTATTGTATGTGAACAATTCAAGCACAAAATAATATGTGGGGAATCCCAGTGAGCTGCAATTGAGTATACATGGTGTTGCCAGCAGCTGCTACAAAATATCAATCAAAATAAGGGGTTTCCCCCTAATTCAATACAGAATGAGTAATTAGGTATTTCAAAAAATTAGTAGTTTCTGTAAAAACATGAAATGATTCATATATTTTTTAATATTCAACATGAAAGTTTGTAGCCTTCAAAAGTGCCGCCCTTGCTGCTACACCAATAGTTTGAGTGTTTTTATTACAAAATGTCTAATTCTTTTAGCCTATTTATTTTTTTTAAACTTTTGATTGCATTGCAAAGTCAACATCCGTTAATATTATTAAAAAGTTTTAAGTGTGACAATGTGTTAGTTCACGGTGGAGGCGGTGGTGACTGAGAGTGTGAGTGTTCACTGGCAATGCCGAGCGCTATCCACTCTTATCACTGACTCCAACGCACCACAGCAGCCCAAATTCCTTGTTGAAGGTAGGTGTTCACCATGATGGAATAAAATTGTAAATTGTCAAATACTTTATCTTTATAACTCTCTCATTGTCTTTGATGAAATAGAGATATGTTTTTATCAATGTTTCAGTAGTGGAAATTTGAGGTTATGTGTAATTTAATTTTGTAAATGTGAACTCTTGTTTTGCATAGTATAAAATGGTCCCTAATTGCCAACAACATTAAATTGATTTATTGACGAATTTTAATTACTACGAGTCATGTTTTATGAAAAAGTGTGTTTATTTATAGGTGAAGAATTGAAAAACTTGAAACTCCTGAACGTGTTTGAACCCTGTACGCTGCAGGTTGGCGACAGAAATTTCCTCACTATTTTACCCGAAGATACTTTTGTCAGTAAAAAACAATGGAGAAAACATCAAAGTAAGAATTTTTATCATTAAATGCATTTGTAACTAGCATTCGCCCGCGACTTCGTCCGCGCGGAATTTAAAAAAAAAACAAATGCAAATAGCCTATGTGTTCATCTATCCTCTACATCTATGCCAAATTTTATCGAAATCCGTTCAGCCGTTTAGGTCACAAACTCTTAACAAACATCCATCCATCCATCGATCCATTTAAACTTTCGCATATAATAGTTTAAATAGTTACGCAACATTTTCAGGTAAATACTACAGGAACCTTCGTAAACAGAGCAGACCAGTGAAAAAACCTTCAAAGACTGATGCAAACTCAACAGAACATATACCTTCCAGACCTAAGAAGCGTGCTTCTTCACATCGCAAACTGAAGTCCACAGATGTAAGTACTTTGGATTATTTTTTTTTTGTAATACACTGGCTGTTGCTCGCGATGTCGCCCGCGTGAATTTAAAAAATAATAAAAAATATAACCTTTGTACTATTAATAACTTTTTTTATGGTTAAAGAATTTTTGAAATCGGTCCAGTACTTTTTGAGTTATTCCAATACATACCAAAAATGCAAATCTTTCCTCTTTGTAATATTAGTAATATATAATCAGCTCTTTTTTTTATTATAATGTTTTTTAAAGTTTGGACTAAGTATTCACTCTAGTCGACTGGCGAGATTCGAACCCCTAATCTTAGGTCGTTAATCCTTACCTTTAACCGTTAGGGTTATTTCCACCTCTTGCTAGTTATAAATCAAAGTTTTGTTAGAACGAGATGGAAGTGGACGGTGGCGATGAGAAGCTGGAGTCGCTGGACGAGGCTCTGAAGGCGGACCTCAACTGCCCCAGCATCAAGATTGAGCCCAGCGCTGACGTCACCATGCCCGTCGGCAGCAGCCAGGAGGACACCGCCACTGAGGAGAAGAATGACTCCGGCATCAGGTAAGAGTCATTGACCTTTTCTATTTTTTTTAATTAATTTTATACATTATAATTGTAAGGATGGGCGTCGCTAGTCTTTGATCTAGGGAGGCAGTTCGATGATTAAGGGGGGTGAGTAGTAGGAACTTCCCCCTACCCATGGGAACAGCCACGGTTAGGTACATGAGTGGGATTAGTTTCTTTGTCATCTGTGATTTGTGACATGGAATGATGAAAAAATTAATTAATAACTTGAAAATAACTCATTGTTTTCCGAAAATATATACAGTTTATGTGTTTCAAATTGTTTTTACTTAATGTATTGCTTGCAATATGTTACTGCTAAGATACAAGTATGTTAAAAACAACATTTATATTCTTATTTGAATGACTTGACTTAAATAATTAATATGTAAATGAAGATTTTCTCATTTAAATTTTAGTTGAAAGTTTCCTTTTTGATGTTTATTGTCACTATTTTCATCAATTGCGTTTCTTAAATTGTAGTTATCTTATTTATATGTCTAGTTTCTATTGCATGTCTATCATATTCAACATCATTGCACTTTTTTCACTTTAAATCATTTTATTAACACATTCAACGCCACTAACTCATACGTAGTGACATGAAATGTACGCATGTGTTTAGTAGATTAATAATATATTTGGTAGTGGGCTAAGTAAATCCCACGTGCGCAGTCCGGAGCCGTGCCGCGAGGACGGCGCGCTGCTGAACGGCGACAGCAAGGCCGGCGACTCCTGCCTCAATGATGATGACTCCGATAATTGGGAGAACACCAGCAGCGACGGCAGCGATACTGACAGGTCAATTATATTCTTTCTACGTCAACTTGCTCTTGTCCCTACTGTTAAGAATAAAATCGGGTTAAGAATAAAATAAAGAATAAAATGTCCCTACTGTTAAGAATAAAACTAGAATATCGCCATAGACGTCCCCATCTCACAGCTGTCAATGTCATTCAGACATTAGAAAAGCGCGCCAAACTGGCGGGAGGCAGTGGCCTGAGTGTTAGTTTATTTTGTACGAGATAGATGTAAAAAATAAAGAAAAAAAAATGTTTTCGTCTATGTAGTCGCGGAAATCCGCTATATTCCTGTTTAGGAGAATTTGCAACGAGACAAATTCCCCTTTTGCAAATAACTCATTAGATAATATTGAATGGTGCAAACGAAGATATAATAATGTAATAAGAGCAGGGGTATCTTGGGCCGAAACAACCAAAGAAAACACAGCAGGGTGGCAAAAAGTCGTTTATTGGTTATTACACCAATGACAATGGTCTGCGCGCGGACCCCAGGTTGGGAACCACACGTAGATACAAAAAATGTT